CAATGCTGAAAAAGCATTTTCAGTGACAATGTTTGGATTTGAAATCAAAATAATGGATAAATGTTGTGTTTGTGGTAAACAGCCACGGATCAGTAGTGGACTCCTGTGTAAAAGCACAGTCCGTGCTGCTTCTGCACCGCTCACGTACCGCACATGGACTGCATACGCACTGCAAACGGAGAATGTGTGAACCTGGTGTAACACTGCCTCACATACAGCTCACAAAATTAGGCTTGTGCTGTGTGTAAGCTATTGTGCAACAATTGCACGATTATCAAAACAAAAATGATCAAACATTTAGTTGAGATATATATTTTTGAAAAATGTCTAAAAAAAAATGCCCCCCTCCACCCCTCAAATTAAAAAATCCCCTCTCACAAGAGTCTCCTAAGAGGGGAATTAATTTTCAAAAATGTAATTCAGGCCCCGAATAAATGTCTAAAAATCTTGATTGGATCATCACTATAAATAATTCTACATGATAAAAAGAAGGCTTTAAAAAGATCGGTATCGGTGATCGGTATTGGCAGATACTGCTTTTTGTGATCAGCAATCGGTGATCGGCCTCAAAAATCCTGATCGGAGCACCCCTAACTGTATTCATACTTTATTGACTACTAACAATATAGTAAGTGGATAGTAAAAAATAGAATCACCAAAAATTTATCTCAAGTCAAAACCAATTACTACTTTATCGTAACAATATTTAAATGATTAAGATTAATAAATATAGCAGCAAATTATGGTTGGATGTAACTGCTTAATTACAATTAATACAAAAAATATTGCTTCTTACTAAACTGCAGTATTTATTACTTTCTTTACTTAAAAGGAACAGTTCACTGAAAATGCAGTTTTTGAATTACATATCCACTGATGTTGTTCATCAAAATCAAGAAATTAGTTTTTTAAACATTCCAAACTCGCCAAAACAAATTCATATCGTCTCTGTTGCTCTCTTTAAAAAAAAGTTATGAAAACGAAGTAAACCAAGTTACAAAAAGTGACTGCCTACGACTGTGGAGATATTTGTTTGATCCTCAGCACCTTTTCAGTTTCAGAGACAGACAGAGAGAGAGAGAGAGAGAGAGAGGCCAAGCTGGGTTTTTTGAGCCTGTGCCAGTTCTCATCTCTCTGCAGTTGTATTGCTTTGAGACAATGCTCAGCAAAGCAGCTGTGTGGTTTTAGCCCCCTCTACTCCACCACCCAAACCGGAATTAGCAAATCAAATGACGTCCTTGTAATATATAATGTAAAATCATCCTCAATTTCCAGGGTGCATTCAAATGCATGTCACGCACTGCCAACAACACAAGGACATTCAAGGGTAGATGCTAGATATGATTCACAGTTCTTTATGCTAAATCAAGGAAGATGTTTAATCAGTATTGTCTTGCAAAATATTGCAGCAGAACCTAAGAGAGACGCAGCTCTCTGAAGCATGTTAAAACCCTTAACGTATGCCAGAAGCCATTATCTTGCCTGCACTGTGAGTACAGCAAGCACAGTCATCGCTGTTCACGTACCCGACGGGTTGCACTGAGGATATTCACACTATTTTAGGCTAGCCCAACATTTTCTTATCCACAATTTACTTTAAAGCCAGGTTATTTTTAGCTTTCAGTCAATAGTTCACACTACCGTTAACTTTGAGAGCTGTTTGAAATAAACATGATTAAAGATGTATTTCTCACGACATCCATTTCACAGCGAAGAAAAAATAGCAATCAATTAGTGGTATCCACCAGCTATAATTAACAACCAAAACATGAACAGCTGTGAATGTGCACAAATGAAAACAGCCACATGTGTAAATGTCTAAAAACTGCAGACCATGACTGAGAGAGTGTAACAGCAGACAAACTAGTCTTCCGAATCCATGTGGTAGTCGCAGTCATTTACTGCCCATTCATATCAAATGCATTTCAACATGATGTACTTGCACAGATGACAAGGTCACAGCTGCTTTCATTCAGAGCAAACAGATGTTAGCAATAAAACAATCGCCACCATTTTCACTCTCTTGATTATGACAAGCTCAGATGTTTAGCACAAAAGTCATCTCAAATGTGTTTGTACACCTTCCAATCAAAGCAGATGTGTTTGAGCATTAAACGGTCCAGTGTCTGGATTTGTGCGGCTGAAACTTGCTCTGAGCTCTCCATGGTGCTGATGGCCTAATTCTGAGCAGAATCACTGAGGCTGGAAACACTTGTGTTTTATGCATCTCATCCAAACCGTGAGACTTCACACTCACACGGTGCTAGAGCGACGCAAATGATTTTTGCACTTAAGATGTGCAGGAGTGCCTGCATGTTAACAAGATTGCTAGTGTGGACCAGCCCAGAAAGACAAGACGCCTATTAAGCAGCCTAATTTCCAAGTGTGCTGAATGTGATTCATGAGGGATATAAAGCTCATCGACAAGGAAAAATGGTTCTTGAGCTGTCAGGTGGTCTCACAACCTCTAAAGAGGCAAATACTTGGGGGATCAAATATGTTGTATGTGCCTGTGTGTGCTATATGATCTTTAGGTAGTATGCTGGTGTTAAATATTTAATGAATGTTGCACATCTTAGAGAGCTAGAGAATTTGCTATAAGAAATAATATTAATGAAAGAGTATCATGCTTTTTCACATCCTCTTGTAAACATGTTGAAATTGTCTTGTTTTTCTCCAGATATGACATTAAAACATAAACAGACATGCACACAACATGTGCAAATATTGATTAAACTGCCAGAGCACCATTTAAAGTATTTACATGAAGCAAAATGCAAGGCTCGAAAGTGCGACCTGTTTTCATTTCTCTAAAAACGATGTGCCTTCTGAGTGTTGATACGGTGACCTGTCTGCTGTTCTATGAAACGTTAGGCTACATAACCAATTAAACTTAATCTTTACATTCTTAACATTAATGCAGATTTTAGATTGGTTAATATTAGTTGTCA